CACACACAGAGACACACACACAGAGACACACACACACAGAGACACACACACAGAGACACAAACACACAGAGACACACACACACAGAGACACACACACACAGAGACACACACACAGAGACACACACACAGAGACACACACACAGAGACACACACACAGAGACACACACACACAGAGACACAAACACACAGAGACACACACACACAGAGACACACACACACAGAGACACACACACAGAGACACACACACAGAGACACACACACACAGAGACACACAGTGCATAAATAATGTTTAGTGCATCTTTACTGCATCTCAGAAATACATGCATATTGTGCACAAAAGTCTTAATATCATGGTGTAAATCTGTGTTGGTCATTAACGAGGCGAGTCTCGCATCACTCACTCGAAGTCGGTGTGTGTCTTGAGTTCGGTGACGGGACTGAACGACATGACTTTCTTCTTCATGCCGATCACACACGCCGTGTCCGGAGCGTTGGCAAACACACGGCCTGCAACACACAAACACACACACACACACATTCATCATCCAGTCCATGTGTGCTTTTAGCATTTTATTCGGTTGTTTTAATACATTTTAATTTAGCTGTAATTTATACTCATTTTACTTTCAGTAATTTTGTTATAATCTTTTATATATTTATATTTATTTTGTTTTGTTATGTTTTTTTTTTATCATTTTATTCTGTTTTTTTTAAACTTCCATTTAAAATTTCCCTTTATTCATTTAAATTTTTGTAATTTTATGTTATTTTTAAGTTTGTGCTTTTATTATTATTTTATTTCTATTTAGCTGTAATTGTATTTAATTCAGTTTTAGTAATTGTTGTTTTTATCATGTTTAGTTCTTTAAAAATATTTCTATTTAGTTGTAATTTATATTTCAGATTTTGTAATTTTGTTATGCGTTTTATAATTTAAAATTTTTTATATTTCTATTTAGCTGTAATTTTTATTTATTTCAGTTTTTGCAATTGCATGTTTTTACTCTTTTTTTTAAACTTCCATTTAGCTCTATTTATTTATTTCAGTTTTTGCAATTGCATGTTTTTACTCTTTTTTTTAAACTTCCATTTAGCTCTATTTATTTATTTCAGTTTTTGTAAATTTATGTGATTTAATAATTTTTTTAAAAGATTTTTTAATGTGCTTTTATTATCATTTTAATATTTCTATTTAGCCGTATTTTTTATTTAATTCAACTTTAGTAATTTTGTTGTGCTTTTATAATTGTATTAATTAAAAAAAATATATATATTCAGTTTTTGTCATTTTGTTATGCATTTTTATAATTTTTTATATTTCTATTTAGCTGTAATTTTATTTATTTATTTGAAATTCCATGTGTTTTTATCATTATTTTTGTTTTTTAATATTTCTATTTAGCTGTAATATACATTGTTCAATTGTTGTAATTTTGCTATCCGTTTTTATCATTAGCTTTAAATTATATTTAGTTCAGGTTTAATAAGCAACATTTCTAATTTCCATGTGAGTTTTTGAGTCTGTTGATCTCCTTCCGGCCTCAGTGCAGTGGACGGTAGCGGTGCGAGTGCAGTTCCTCACCCTGCCTGTAGGAGGCGCTCATCTTCTCCGTCAGCCACAGCACAGACTTCACTCCCAGTTTAGTGCCGAAGTTCCTGTCGAACGGCGTGGGAACGCCACCCTGAACACACGGACACATTAGCAACGCCTCACCCTCGAGTCACGGGGTCACGGGGTCACGGGGTCACATGACCTCTCACCTGCTGCAGGTGCCCCAGGACGTTGACCCGGCAGTCGAACACACCCTTGCCCTCGGCGGAGTACAGGTTGTGGATGAAGTCAGTGGTGTAGTGCTTGTGGCTCTTCTCGTTCCTGCAGAGAACAGCACCGATACTCACACACTTGAGTTACGTAATCAGATTACTCTTCAAATGAGTAACGCAAGTTACTTTGTTTTCCCATTCATTGACTGACAGCTCTCCTGTCCTCATGTTGGGAGAAATCGAAGTGCAGAGGCGTTGTGTGTGTGTGTGTGTGTGTGTGTGTGTTACAGTGTTTGTGTCTGTAACGGTGTGTGTGTGTGTGTGTTACAGTGTTTGTGTCTGTAACGGTGTGTGTGTGTGTGTGTGTGTGTGTGTGTGTGTTACAGTGTTTGTGTCTGTAACGGTGTGTGTGTGTGTGTAACAGTGTTAGTTTCGGTAACGGTTTGTGTGTCTGTAACAGTGTGTGAGTGTGTGTGTGTGTGTGTGTGTGTTACAGTGTTTGTGTCTGTAACGGTGTGTGTGTGTGTGTGTGTGTGTTACAGTGTTTGTGTCTCTAACGGTGTGTGTGTCTGTTACAGTGTTTGTGTCTGTAACTGTGTGTGTGTGTGTGTGTGTGTTACAGTGTTTGTGTCTGTAACGGTGTGTGTGTCTTTTACAGTGTTTGAGTCTGTAACTGTGTGTGTGTGTGTTAGAGTGTTTGTGTCTGTAACGGTGTGTTTGTCTTTTACAGTGTTTGCGTCTGTAACAATGTTCCCTCTAAGCTGCGCGCGTGCGCGGCCGCGCACTTCTGATGCCTCGGCCGCGCACTTCTGATGCCTCGCCGCGCACTTCTGATGCCTCGGCCGCGCACTTCTGATGCCTCGGCCGCGCACTTCTGATGCCTCGCCGCGCACTTCTGATGCCTCGGCCGCGCACTTCTGATGCCTCGGCCGCGCACTTCTGATGCCTCGGCCGCGCACTTCTGATGCCTCGGCCGCGCACTTCTGATGCCTCGCCGCGCACTTCTGATGCCTCGGCCGCGCACTTCTGATGCCTCGGCCGCGCACTTCTGATGCCTCGGCCGCGCACTTCTGATGCCTCCCCGCGCACTTCTGATGCCTCGGCCGCGCACTTCTGATGCCTCGGCCGCGCACTTCTGATGCCTCGCCGCGCACTTCTGATGCCTCGGCCGCGCACTTCTGATGCCTCGCCGCGCACTTCTGATGCCTCGCCGCACACTTCTGATGCCTCGCCGCGCACTTCTGATGCCTCGGCCGCGCACTTCTGATGCCTCGGCCGCGCACTTCTGATGCCTCGGCCGCGCACTTCTGATGCCTCGGCCGCGCACTTCTGATGCCTCGGCCGCGCACTTCTGATGCCTCGCCGCGCACTTCTGATGCCTCGCCGCGCACTTCTGATGCCTCGCCGCGCACTTCTGATGCCTCGCCCGCGCACTTCTGATGCCTCGGCCGCGCACTTCTGATGCCTCGGCCGCGCACTTCTGATGCCTCGGCCGCGCACTTCTGATGCCTCGGCCGCGCACTTCTGATGCCTCCCCGCGCACTTCTGATGCCTCGGCCGCGCACTTCTGATGCCTCGGCCGCGCACTTCTGATGCCTCGGCGCGCACTTCTGATGCCTCGGCCGCGCACTTCTGATGCCTCGCCGCGCACTTCTGATGCCTCGCCGCGCACTTCTGATGCCTCGCCGCGCACTTCTGATGCCTCGGCCGCGCACTTCTGATGCCTCGGCCGCGCACTTCTGATGCCTCGGCCGCGCACTTCTGATGCCTCGGCCGCGCACTTCTGATGCCTCGGCCGCGCACTTCTGATGCCTCGCCGCGCACTTCTGATGCCTCGCCGCGCACTTCTGATGCCTCGCCGCGCACTTCTGATGCCTCGCCCGCGCACTTCTGATGCCTCGGCCGCGCACTTCTGATGCCTCGGCCGCGCACTTCTGATGCCTCGGCCGCGCACTTCTGATGCCTCGCCGCGCACTTCTGATGCCTCGCCCGCGCACTTCTGATGCCTCGGCCGCGCACTTCTGATGCCTCGCCGCGCACTTCTGATGCCTCGGCCGCGCACTTCTGATGCCTCGCCGCGCACTTCTGATGCCTCGGCCGCGCACTTCTGATGCCTCGGCCGCGCACTTCTGATGCCTCGCCGCGCACTTCTGATGCCTCGCCGCGCACTTCTGGATGCCTCGCCGCGCACTTCTGATGCCTCACCGCGCACTTCTGATGCCTCGGCCGCGCACTGCTAATGCCTCGCCGCGCACTTCTGATGCCTCGGCCGCGCACTTCTGATGCCTCGCCGCGCACTTCTGATGCCTCGCCGCGCACTTCTGATGCCTCGCCGCGCACTTCTGATGCCTCGCCGCGCACTTCTGATGCCTCGCCGCGCACTTCTGATGCCTCGGCCGCGCACTTCTGATGCCTCGGCCGCGCACTTCTGATGCCTCGCCGCGCACTTCTGATGCCTCGCCGCGCACTTCTGATGCCTCGGCCGCGCACTTCTGATGCCTCGCCGCGCACTTCTGATGCCTCGCCGCGCACTTCTGATGCCTCGCCGCGCACTTCTGATGCCTCGCCGCGCTCTTCTGATGCCTCGCCGCGCACTTCTGATGCCTCGGCCGCGCACTTCTGATGCCTCGGCCGCGCACTTCTGATGCCTCGCCGCGCACTTCTGATGCCTCGCCGCGCACTTCTGATGCCTCGCCGCGCACTTCTGATGCCTCGGCCGCGCACTTCTGATGCCTCGGCCGCGCACTTCTGATGCCTCGGCCGCGCACTTCTGATGCCTCGGCCGCGCACTTCTGATGCCTCGGCCGCGCACTTCTGATGCCTCGCCGCGCACTTCTGATGCCTCGGCCGCGCACTTCTGATGCCTCGCCGCGCACTTCTGATGCCTCGGCCGCGCACTTCTGATGCCTCGCCGCGCACTTCTGATGCCTCGCCGCGCACTTCTGATGCCTCGCCGCGCACTTCTGATGCCTCGCCGCGCACTTCTGATGCCTCGCCGCGCTCTTCTGATGCCTCGCCGCGCACTTCTGATGCCTCGGCCGCGCACTTCTGATGCCTCGCCGCGCACTTCTGATGCCTCGGCCGCGCACTTCTGATGCCTCGCCGCGCACTTCTGATGCCTCGGCCGCGTACTTCTGATGCCTCGCCGCGCACTTCTGATGCCTCGGCCGCGCACTGGTACGGCAGTGAAGTTTCTTGATTATTACGCAGGAATGAGAGTATAGTTCCTAGCCATA